CTCCCGAATGGTCGACAAATTCAATCAAGGCGATTCCAAGTCTGTCTACAACCCCTGTATTGTCGGACAAAATCTGATCAAGGCAAACGAAAACGATCCAAGAATGGAGAAGAAACCCTATCGGTCTCTCATCGGGTCACTTCTCTATGTGGCCACGGGAACAAGGCCCGATATCGCATTCGCCGTTTGTCAACTCAGTCGACACCTCGAGCAACCGAGCGAAGAACACTGGAAGGTAGCAGTTCGCGTGTTCAAGTATCCGACTAATCGGTAGAAAAGGTTTTCTTCTTTGGGAATCTGCCCGAGGATGTCATTTGCAGCGACTTTCGTATGCTCAACCGCATCATGAGATTGACTTGATCCCTCAAAGTCACCCATCACGTTGCGGGAGAGCCACCAAAACCGGCGTGTGTCAGCCTTCCAATCCATTCAAAATTGAAATGAAGGTTTAAAAGTAGCTCAAATTATTTTTTTACCCTGCAAGTCACCACTCCTTAGCAGTACCCCCATTACAAAAGTAGCAGAGGCATATTAAAACCTTTGGAGACCGTATCACTGGCATGTAGTGCTAGCAAAAGCACCGAAGGTTTGCGCACTAGATGAAGCTGGCACGCCATATCACCCGTCTTCCGGCTTAAAAATGCCGGTTTTGTAAACCTAACGACCGATCAAAGTGCCATCAGAAAGTTGACAATGTATAAGGTACGACAAAGACGTCAATGAATTTCCTCTATCACCATCCAGCTATTACAGACTCGAAACAGGACCGAATATTACTCGAAAGTGGGGAGCGCGTTTTTCTGTGCGTTCCCTTTCGATTTTCGAGAAATAATGGACAGAGGACGCGCATAATCCAAATGGGCAATCCAAATGGGCAATGGTGATGCGCATTTTTGCCAAAACGGGGCTCCAAACTATGAGGAGTTATTATGGTGAGAAAGCCCCATTTCTTGCCAAATGTCGATGGTTAATAGATCGGAAGCACATGATACAGCTCCGCTTGATTTGAATCAGGTTACAGTTTTGTTAAATTCGCCACAAAATCATCCGCTCCGCATGGACGTGAGTCACCCCTCGCTAGCCGAGCAAGCCGCTGATAGGCAAATTTTCTGCCCAAGAAACTCGTGCTCCCTCTCAACTATGGAAGCACGTCCACCCTTTGGACGTGCAGCTAAAACTGACATGACTAATCTTTCGATGCACTCACTGAGCTGTGTGGTGAAATCGATTGTTAGATGGACCCCAATCGGATCGTTGCTCAAGAGAGGATGGTAGCCTAGCTGCAATGGATAATAGAGACAATGTTTCACCTCAGAAAAATGCATGTCTGGAACTTCATTCGTGAAACACAGGGTGTGTTTGCACTTCTTTTGAGATACTTAAAGTATGCGTTATCATTTTCTAGCTGAGACCGTTATCGTCCAACATGGCGAGATCGTCAACATGGCGAGATCGTTATTAGTCGTATAGAATGTAGACAGATAGGATAACAGTGTTCGACAAATATCTGAATACCTCAGAATGATATTTTCGTGTGCCTCTAGCAATTGCATGATACCTTGCCCATCCAGGCCTTAAGCGCATGACACTCGATCTTGCTCGAATCAAATCCTTACTTTGTGTTTCTTACCGTGGCGTAAAAACACATACTGAGTGTCGCCTTGTTTAGCTGAGAGACGAAAAGTAGCGATGCAACCATGCAGTTCATCGAATTGATTAAGCGACGTACGAACTCAATAACTTCTTATTAAAGATTTGTAAGGTGCCACCCTTGTGTCGTCGGCGCCATACGCTGTACGTATTACCCGTTCGATGCGTACATTACCATCCTAACATAGGACTCGGGAGACGATTAAGAATATTCTTCACCAAATCTAGCCGATCCGGTCTTAGCTAGACATCAAAGATAAACCCGGCAAAGAAGGATAATTGGATTGACATACCCTGCAAGATGTGTGATGGCGACATTGCTGCTCATACATTGAAAAGAGTCAAGCAGGCTACTCTTCACTCAAATTAGCATATCCATCGCAAGCAACTACTTGTCATTCCTGAGAAGACCTACTCTTACCCTTTGTATAGGCGAGTTTCAAACGCGACAAAGCAGCCATTTCCTTCGAGACTGTTCGGAGTAAACACAGCATAAGGCAGAAGCCGAAGCATCACAGACGACATGAAATTACCAATTTCGATTATGTAAGGCTTTAATGGGCACATCAAGCACTGTTTGGCAGATTATAATATCGCTTCTTCTACAGCACCTCACCTTAATTTGGCATAAAATTGGTAAAGGGACGTGCCAGGTCGGCCTAATTTCCATGTTCTTGCGCAAGTAGCTGGCCACTTCATTACACTTCTTAGGGTAAAGTAGCGGTACTGGCCATACGACAGTGGAATTTGTCCTGCGGAATCTGTCTGCGCACCACGCGTCTCAGATAAGCATCCTAGAATTGGAGGATTCTTGGCTCCAAAGATTCACTTGTCTATGTAACAAATTACTCATCACGCGTATCACTCACTCGAGCACTTCTCACGTGGACGTCAGTGAGATAAATTCTCGCTCATTATACTGGCTTTTCATAAAAAATATGTTTGAAGTTACACGTTACCCTGGATGGGAAATGTAACGGGGTTACACGCACCCTGGTAACAGGGGTGTGTGTCACACGAGATGTGCATGGTGTGACTGCACTCAAACGAGAATACTGTATGTGGCTAGGTAGCCAGTAGTTATGCATGTATTAAGATTTTTCTATATATTTGGTATATTCAGGAAAAATCTAAACTTTTAAAGTTAGGATAAAAAAATAAAAATCAGTTCTGGATTTCAAACCGAATAGTCAATTAGCCTTGGGAAGGCAATAATCACTCTTGAAGTAAGCGGATTGCGATCCGCTAACTCGTACTTGTTCTAAGTATAAAACGAAAGGTCGGTGACCTAAATAACGTTTCGTCAAGCGCTAAGCTACGACAGCCCCGCTGCACGTGGTAGCACTTGTAGTCAATCTACACCTGAGTCGTTTAGACTGATCCTCTGTGAGGATGGAAGAATTCTCCTCTTTGTCCCAGGGCATGCAGGACGGGCTTAACAAGCTGATGTCCTTGCTTGCCCCTGAGGGCGTGTAACACCTTGTAGCGCAAGGTCCCGAGGAAATCAGTGCGCGTCTAGTGGCGTTTTCTTGCTACGAAAACGCGCTGCTAGAGCACCTGCAGCAAAAAATGTCTGCATCATTTGCGTACCGTCGGTGACGGATGATTTTCCCCGCCTTAAGCCGCTCATGGTGAGCGTTAAGGTCTTTGAGGGGAAGGATGGACAGAATCTTCTGCTCTGGGTGAGAGAGGTCGAGACGGCCATCGCATCCGCCATGCTTCAGACCGAACAACAGCACGTAGCGCTAGCCATCTGAAAGCTCGGTGGTCGAGG